GCACAACTATGATTGGTTGAATGGCGCCATGGCACAAACTGGGCTCCCGGGTGCCCCTCTGGGACAGAGCCAGCTGGGTATATCATGGACTCCTGGAAACAGTGGAACCTGATGTGCCTCTCAACTGTCTGTAGAGGATTCTGAAGACGTCTGGATATTCGTGGTGTTGGTGTCAGGTTTCGTGCTGTTTGGCTTGAGTGGCTACCTGGCTTACTGGAAAATTAATGAGCGGTCGAGGAATATTGGCTCAGTCCCGGAGCTCAGAGATGGATCACACCGTGCTGTGAATGCACAAACTCATAATTGTCGAGATGAGTGTTTAGTTTGGAACTTTGGCTGAGATTCAGACTCTGGCACAGAAGGTTGATGCCATCAAGGATAGATTTGACGGATCAGTACGGATTGGGATAGATTAATCTACGCCATTATTGGATTCACAGGGGTTGGAGATCAACAGAACTTTAAGGAAGAGAGGAAATTATCTTTGTCTGGCCCCAAAACAAGTTCTTATATGAATCTGGTGCCCTTGAGCCTGTGAGGCTGAAGTGAATACTCCCTTTCAGAAGAAATGTGGAATGCTGCCGTCGCCATGGTAACTGTCTCCCTATCCCAGCCTTGGCAGGACTGCGACCGGTGAAGGCCGTTGAATCATTTCCAGGAGTCACTGTGCTCGCTAACCCAAATACCTCCTTCCCCTGTCCAAACGGAGGTGACGAGCGCTGCTTATCGTGGCTGCATGCTCTGATGTGAGGACACTCCCCAACCCTATCTACCCACCTAGTGGACAGTTATGTTGTGTGATGTCTGAAGCCTGTTGCATTTCTGTCTGAGGTGTTTTGTTGCATAGCAAAGCTGCCCTGCCTGTGGAGGGTAACTCTGAAGTGCCTTTTTTCCTCCGCCTGACCCAATCCTCATGTAAACCCTCTGATCTCTATTAAGGTAGCGCGACTCGGGTTGCGAATAACCACAGTCACCAATTCTTGTCATGTGTCTATGCCTACGTATGAATGTCTGTTAAGCTCCACACTAGTTCTACTCTAAAGGGACACTCGCGGACAACTCTTGATTTTGCTTTTCATCAACTTTTATTTTTCAACTCAGATTAGTTGGTTTCAAGTTGATAAGTGCATGATTTCATCAGGTTGATAACCTTCAAAGCACAGAAACAAAGGTTAGCAACAATATTTTGTAAATATTTTAAAAATTAAAAATAAATGAATGAATAAATGAATTGAACATTTCAGATAAATTAACCATTTTAAATTAAATTAAAGAATTAACTTAAAAGTACTTCAAGGTACTTCAAATGAATTAATAAAACTCCCTTAATGAATTAAGTTAAATTAAGGAATAATCAATGAAGGGAATACCTTAACTGAGTATTTCATCAAGTACCACATCAAGTAACAAAATAAATAAATCAACTGCCTTCAAGCTTGTTAATGTATGCTTTTAACCCTTTACCTTGCTAAACACATACATTAACTATCCAACAATCACTCACTTCGATCAAATCACTATGATAATGCAGTGCTTCAACTTACTGACACTTAGAATACTCTCCAGGTACAACTTAAGCACTTCACTAACATAAACCAGAAATATTTACCAACCATTGGCATCTTTAGAGTAAAGTTCATGAGTAGATCTTGCTGTGCTGTTCCTGTTTGACTGAGGACCAACAGCCACCATCGTGCATAGGTATTTTTCATCAGCAATCAGTTGCCTTTTTGTTGGTGCATTCTGGGAGATGTAGTTCTCAGTGGTGGTGGACCAATTAGACCTCCATTTGCTCAGCTTTAACCCAACAATGTCTGATCTCAGAATTGTGTGTACTGAAACTCTAATTTCCCTCTGGGATTAATAAAGTATCTTTGAATTTAATTTGAATTTTACCCCTACATCAGACTTGGTCTTAGTCATCAGGAACAAAGTGGTGGAACTGGGATGCCGCAGCGTCGATGGTCATTAGCTGCTTCCACAGATTGAGTGACTCTGTTTTTTATTCAGCACTCATTGTTTTCCTCTTTACCCTCTCAGGCTTCGAGTTGAATGAACCTGCAGTTTGTGAGATAAATGTTTTGTTTTGTTCCACCCAGACCTCCCAGAGATCCCTGCATCGCCTGAACACAGCTCTAAATCTTCTGTTAGTCCCTGTGTTTACTGATGAAGCCACACAAACTACTTTTGTACATACCGGTATTTTAACTTTGTGGGACAAAAACGAATCAATTTAAAGCAACACCAGATTCACGAGTCTGTTGTTTCACACAATAAATCTAACCTGAGTTATCACTTCATTCCTTCAGTAAGTAACTGCTGTGAAATCTAATTTGTGCTAACAGATGGTGCAGCAAGCAACCAGAATGCACCTCTTCCATACTTTTAGTGTCTGACTTAAAGAAAACACTCTCTATGCTTAATTGCCTTCAAATAAAAATGCTGAAAATTAGATTAACTCTAAACTCGTCTGATGAATGCAGAGCAGTTCTGAAAACATGCAGAATCTACAAAAACTGGAACGTTTTGGCAAACTTCATTCATGCAAATGGGAATGTGGTTTAAATATTAAAAACAAGTATTACTACTCAGTACTCAGAGTAGTTTCTGCTCTTTAAATAACAACAGACAGCTACAGCTTATAAGCTTGACTCTCCCATATTCCAGTTAGAACTGACAAAGCTCCTCAGAGGAGAAGTGAAATGTTTTAAACAAACCAAAGAAGTCCAGTTGCCTTCATTTGAACCCTTTGGAGTAATAGTCAATAATTAAAAAATACATAATAAAGTAATAAAATGTATATAATTATGCCCACATTCACTTTTACCATCTCTTTGTGGGAGGCAGAAAATTTATCACAGTTAAATATAACAGTTTTTTGTTTTGTTTTATGGCTTTAAAATTGTAATAAAAAGTGTAAAATGTTTGTAACTCTGCTCCTTTTTTCAGAACAATCTCAGCTTTCAGTGTCTGGTTTGTATTTAGTGTTTATGTTTATTAAAGTGTGTAAAACTGCAGCTTAAATGAAAATAAAACGGATTTGAATTTTCTTTACATTTATTACTAAACAGGAACTTCAAAATGACTTGAGCAAACTTTGTCAAAAGAACAATTTAAACTCAGAACTATGTTGCAAACACTCAGAAAAATGTGTGACCCCTGACCTCACAATTACCAGTTTAATGACTGCAGCCTGTCTGTGGCCACAGGTCTATGCTCTGGTCCAGAGAACGGGATACAGTAAAATAAATACTAGGTATCATAAAATAACACTCATAGGCTACTTCACAACTGTAGCTACATTTGTACCAGCATTATGAAGATCAATAAGCCAGATAAAAGGTTAAATCTAAACATTTCATTACAAAAAGTCAACTAATAAAATTCTGCACTGATAAAATGATATTTTCAGCTAAATAAATATTTATTGTACGTATAAATGATGCTGGAATGAAGCTGAATCATTTAGTAAACAGTTGAGTGTTCAAATAAAAACCATTGTGACTTTAATCTGTCCCTCCTCATGTCACCATCTACAGAAACAGCCTTCTGGGACACCTGACCAACCAGGTGGATTTTATTTGTGACGTTTGTTTCCATAACTTTATAAAAGCTGCTGATGAAGATGATCAGACTATCTCCTCCCTTTGGTTCTCTGCTCTCCCATCGCGGTTCACTCCGTTTCTTTGTGTGACGCTAAAGCTGGTTTCCTTCTAATAGCGATTTTTGGAGTAACATGAATTACATCATGTAATGCCTCGTTGGAAAGCTCGTTTTATGTTCTTTTAGAAACCATTTGAATTATTTTTATTTGATTAGTAATTCAGAAGTTAAGACCTGGAGAATCTAGAGTGAGAAATATCAACATCTGTGATTCTTTGTTGTGAGTTTCTGCAACACTTCAGGAGAAGTCTCTCTCATGTCTCATTTTCTGTCCCAGACATGCAGCTACCTGACTCTGCTCCACATACACTAACCACGGACTCAAACGCACGTAAACAAAAGCTCTGATATTAAAATCCATCCAGCTGACTTGAAGCAGGCAGAAAAAAAACTTACAGGTAGATGAACGCAGACTCCTGCCCACAGGCAAATCACCGGTCTGTCGTCTCCATGGCTACAAGGTAGAGCGACAGCAGGGACAACCAATCACACGTTAGTATGATGCGGCAGAGCCAATCAGTGAGCTTGTAGCCGGGTCTAAGGGAAAATAGGCTTCAGCTTGAGGCAGCTGCCTCCACATGGTCCTAGAGCCCGATAGGTATCACAGTATAACAGTTTTGTACGGTAAAATCTGACGAAGGACCGGAAAAAGGGCACTTTGGGCACTTAGGACAAAAGGGGGCTCAAGCACCCTCCACCCCCACCTCCACCAGATTCTTGTACTTTATTGTTTATTTTTGTGAACTTTTCCCCCTCACCTCTTCCTTTCCTCTCCCCCCTTTCCCTTTCATTTCAGTCTCTGTGTCCATTGGGATTTAAAACAGCCAAAAGCATTTCTAATAAAGTTTTGATGTCAGACATTAGAGCTGAATTTATAATGCTCCACCTGTGAGAGTAAAACTGTAAGGCTTGTTTTCGTCACAGCTGGTCAGGACACGTGGAAAAAAATATATATTTTAATGACTTATGGTCATAATATAACATTATTTATTCAAACATCACCATATTTTTTACTTTAGTGGTATTTTTTCAGTTAAGTTTAGTGTTTGCTTTAGTGAGATTTAGTGACTGAAGTAAATTCCCCGCTGTGGGTTAAGGGGTCACGATCGACTGAACTCATTTAGAAAAACATTTATTATTTTTACCTGTAGGTGATTTTATGCTAAGTTGCCCTCCAGCTGAGTCCTTCTGTCTGCAGGTGTAAATGTGACGGACTACTAACCCGGTGATCCACAATCTTTATGGAGTGAACTTGGAAAAGCTCCCTAAGTGGGAAACGGAGACTGAACGTAAGCGTATCAGAGCCGGATTATTCATGGCTGTGTCATCTGTTCCAGTTGGAGAAGTTGGAGGCCTTCCCAGAACTGGGAGTGATGGTGGAACAGGTGGAGGGAGAGCCAGAGCGAGACGACAGACTGTGTTTACCACAAACTGCAGGGGACGCCCCCGATATCGAACCCAGCATTCCTCTGCTGTCACCTGACCGACACCTGCAGAACCAGAGACAGGTAGCCAGTCGACTGCTGCAAAAGTGTATTTTAAAAAAAAATTTATTTTCCTTTTTTTTAGTTTTTATTTCATTCAAAATAAAAACAAATAAAACATATAAACAATAAGAAATACATAACGATAATCTAATTTGAACGAAAAGGAGCAGAATGAAGAAACACATCTTATAATTTCAATTAAATACAATTTCCATTTGTCAGACACAGATACAGATTCATTTTAAACTTTTTCCTGTTCTAAATTCCAGTGCGATCATGATCATTGATTTAATTTACATTTTCATAATTATTTAGTAAACTCAATTTGGTACATTTTTTGAATATATTAAATGACAGTATTTTTTTATTTCCCTTTCAAGGTTATTCCATAACTAAACACCATTTACAGATATATTCCATTTCTTAATTTTAGTTCTAAATCTAGGTTTTGTAAACACATCAGTTTCTTTCAGCATGTAATTACTAGTTCTCTTTTCAAATATCCCCTGAATGATTGTTGGCAGAGTACCTAAATTGGCTTCATACATGGTTTGTAAGATTTTCCATTCTTTTAAATCGTGGAATTTCAGTAATTTATATTTAATAAACAATGGGTTCGATGGATCTCTACAGCCACTATAATTGATGATTCTCAGAGCTCTTTTCTGCAAAATAAATAAGGGTTGTGTATAGTTTTTGTATGTTGCTCCCCAGATTTCTACACAATAAGTCAAATATGGAACAATCGGTGAATTTTACAATGCCAACAAACCAGAATTAGTCAGTAAAAACTTGACTCTATGTAATACTCCTAAGGATTTGGCAATTTTACCTTTTATATAACTAATATGGGATTTCCATGTCAAGTCTTCATCAATAAGAACTCCAAGAAATTTAGTTTCTTTTACTCTTTGAATTTCAATCCCATCTATTTCCAATGGCACATCACTGTTCTTTTTATCATTAAACATTATAAAATTTGTTTTATTAAGATTCAGTGTCAATCTATCTATATCAAACCAGTTTTTAATTTAAACAGTTCATCATTCATCACTTTAGCCACCTCCTCAATATTTGATCCTGAGTAAAACAGTGTTGTATCATCTGCAAATAGAATGGTACCGAGTGTCTTAAATACATTTACCAAGTCGTTAATAAGCAAAATGAACAGTTTTGGTCCGAGGACTGACCCTTGTGGCACTCCACAATTAATTTCACATAATTTTGATTTATGGTCCTATATCTGAACATACTGTTTCCTTTTTTTAAAATAAGTTTTAACCCATTGATGAGCCACACCTCTTATTCCATACTGACTTAATTTTCGAAGTAACCTTGAGTGATCAATGACGTCAAATGCTTTTTTCAAATCAATGAAAATACTAACAAAGTCATTTTTATTGTCAATTGCTGTTGATATTTTATCCGTTAATTCCATTATTGCCATTGCTGTGGAATGTTTAGTTCTAAACCCATATTGTTAATTGTCGTCGTCGTCGTCTTCCACCGCTTATCCAGGTCCGGGTCGCGGGGGCAGCATCCCAACTAGGGAGCTCCAGACTGTCCTCTCCCCGGCCTTCTCCACCAGCTCGTCCGGCAGGGCCCCAAGGTGTTCCCGGACCAGACTGGAGATGTAACCACTCCAATGTGTCCTGGGTCGACCCGGGCACCTCCTGCCAGCAGGACATGCCCAAAACAGCCCCCCGGGGAGGCGTCCAGGAGGCATCCTGACCAGATGCCCAAACCACCTCAACTGGCTCCTTTTGATCTAGAGGAGCAGCGGTTCTACTCCGAGTCCCTCCCGAATGTCCGAGCTCCTCACCCTATCTCTAAGGCTGAGCCCGGCCACCCTATGGAGGAAACTCATTTCGGCTGCTTGTATCCGCAATCTCGTTCTTTCGGTCTTTACCCAAAGCTCATGACCATAGGTGAGGATTGGGACGTTGATCGACCGGTAAATTGAGAGCCTGGCTTTCTGGCTCAGCTCCCTCTTCACCACGACAGATCGGCTCAGCGCCCGCATCACTGCAGATGCTGAACCAATCTGCCTGTCAATCTCCCGATCCCTCCTACCCTCACTCGTGAACAAGACCGAAAGATACTTAAACTCCTCGACTTGAGGTAGGACCTCTCCCCCGACCCGGAGTTGGCAAGTCACCCTTTTCCGGTCGAGAACCATGGCCTCAGATTTGGAGGTGCTGATCCTCATCCCAGCCGCTTCACACTCGGCTGCGAACCTACCCAGCAAGAGCTGAAGGTCAGAGCTGGATGAAGCTAGGAGGACCACATCATCCGCAAAAAGCAGAGACGAGATTCTCCTGCCACCAAACTCGACACACTCCACACCAGGGCTGCGCCTAGAAATTCTGTCCATAAAGGTAATGAACAGAACCGGTGACAAAGGGCAGCCCTGGCAGAGGCCAACCCTCACCGGGAACAGGTCTGTCTTACTACCGGTTATGCGGACCAAACTCACGCTCCTCTGGTAAAGGGACTGAATGGCCCTTAACAGAAAGCCACCCACCCCATACTCCTGGAGCGTCCCCCACAGGGTGCCCCTGGGGACACGGTCATAAGCCTTCTTCAAATCCACAAAACACATGTGGATTGGTTGGGCAAACTCCCATGCCCCCTCCATCACCCTTGCAAGGGTATAGAGCTGGTCCACAGTTCCACGGCCAGGACGAAAACCACATTGCTCCTCCTCAATCTGAGATTCAACTATTGATCAGACCCTCCTCTTCAGTACCTTGGAGTAGACCTTCCCAGGGAGGCCTAGGAGTGTGATCTCCCTATAGTTGGAACACACCCTCAGGTCACCCTTCTTAAAGATGGGGACCACCACCCCAGTCTGGCACTCCACAGGAACTGCCCCCGATGACCACGCAATGTTGCAGAGACAAGTCAACCATGACAGTCCTACAACATCCATAGCCTTGAGATACCCAGGACGAACCTCATCCGCCCCCGGGGCTCCACCTCTGTGTAGTTGTTTGACTACCTCAACAACTTCTGCCCCCGAGATTGGACAGTCCATCCCCAGGTCCCCCGGCTCTGGTTCCTCCTCGGAATGCGCATAGGTGGGATTGAGGAGCTCCTCAAAGTATTCCTTCCACCGCCCGACTATAGCCCCAGTTGACGTCAGCAGCTCCCCATCCCCACTGTAAACAGTGTGAGCGAGTTGCTGCCTTCCTCTCCTGAGGCGCCGGACAGTTTGCCAGAACCTCTTCGGAGCCGATCGATAGTCTTTCTCCATGGCTTCACCAAACTCCTCCCATGCCCGAGATTTTGCCTCGGCAACTGCCACTTCTGCACCCCGCTTGGCTATCCGGTACCTGTCTGCTGCCTCCGGAGACCCACAGACCAGCAACGCCCTGTAGGCCTCCTTCTTCAGCCTGACGGCTCCCCGAACCTCTGGTGTCCACCAGCGGGTAAGGGGGTTGCCACCACGACTGGCACCGGCCACCTTGCAACCACAGCTAGCAACTGCCGCCTCAACAATCGCAGAGTGGAACAAGGCCCACTCGGAGTCAATGTCCCCCACTGCTCTCGGGACGCGGTCAAAGCTCTGCCGGAGGTGGGAGTTGAAGACCGTCTTAACAGGTTCTTCTGCCAGGCGTTCCCAGCAGACCCTCACTATGCGTTTGGGTCTGCCAGGTCTACGCGGCATCTTCCCCTGCCATCTGATCCAACTCACCACCAGGTGGTGATCAGTTGACAGCTCCGCTCCCCTCCCCTCTTCACTCGAGTGTCCAAAACATACGGCCGCAGGTCAGATGATACGACTACAAAGTCTATCATCGACCTGCAACCTAGGCTGCCCTGGTACCAAGTGTACCGATGGGCATCCTTATGTTCGAACATGGTGTTTGTTATGGCCAAACTGTGGCTTGCACAGAAGTCCAATAACGAAACACCACTCGAGTTCAGATCAGGCGGGCCGTTCCTCCCAATCACACCCCTCCAGGTCAAGCTGTCATTGCCCACGTGAGCATTGAAGTCCCCCAGCATGACAATGGAGTCCCATGATGGAGCACTATCTAGCACTCGTCCCAGGGACTCCAAAAAGGGTGGGAACTCTGAACTGATATTTGGCCCATAAGCGCAAACAACAGTCAGGACCCGTTCCCCTACCCGAAGGCGCAGGGAAGCTACCCTCTCGTCCCCCGGGGTAAACCCCAACACACAGGCAGAGAGTCTTGGGGCTAACAAAAAGCCAACCCCAGCCCTCCTCCTCTCACCCGGAGCAACTCCTGCAAAGGAGAGTGTCCAACCCCTCTCAAGGACTTGGGTTCCAGAGCCAATGCTATGTGTCGAGGTGAGTCCGACTATATCTAGCCGGTACCGCTCAACCTCTGCCACAAGCTCCTGCTCCTTCCCCGCCAGCAGGAGGTGACGTTCCATGTCCCAAAAACCAGTTTTCTTGTCCGGGGATCGGACCGCCAAGGCTCCCGCCTCGGTCTGCCACCCGATCCACATTGCACCAGACCCTTCATGTTCCTCCTGCGGGTGGTGGGTCCACAGTTGGATGAGCCCATGTATCCGGTTCGGGCTGGGCCCAGTCGGGCCCACTGGGCGAAAGCCCGGCCACCAGGCGCTCGCTCACGGGCCCCAACCCCAGGCCTGGCTCCAGGGTGGGACCCCGGTAACCCTCCGGGCCGGGTACTCTGACTCTTTGAATTTACATCCATGAAAGATCCCGTGAACCGTTCTTTGTCTCACTCTTCACCTAAGACCAATTTGTCATGGGAGACCCTACCAGGGGCACAAAGTGCCCCAGACAACATAGCTCCTAGGATCATTAGGGCACTCAAACTCCTCCACCACGATAAGGTGACGGTTCAAGGAGGAGATATTGTTCATTGGGCAGTGTGGCAGTGTTCTGTGTAAGCAGACAGGATGGGGTGGATTATTAGATACTCCAAAAGACTTGATTTTGCTCCTAACAATGTAAAAAAAAAAAACTGACAGTTTTCTACTTTAATAATCAATTCTTCATTCAAACAGCGCTAAATCACAGA